CATACATACATACATACATACATACATACATACATACATACATAGGGGAATGTGCCAGAAAAAGCCTTGATTATTTGTACATCGGAGACAGTCTTTGAAATCTTATAATGTTGAATTAACATCCCTATAATACTAGTAATTATGCTCCAAAAACCTTTTTATTAGTGACATCTTTGCAGTTTATAAGTCGAGAATCATGAACACATTTTAAAACAGATTATATAAAAATTCCCACCTGAGGAGTTCTCACAAAAAGCTCTTATCTGAAAATAAATGTGCTTTAAAGGGGGAAGAAACATACTCATATATATTTTTTTTGTGATAACTTTTTTATTGCTATCAAAGGGAAACAAGTACGATATTCTGATAGAGGTAAAAGGTATAATGCTAACAGAAAAGAACACACAGAAAACAAAATATATATTAATAACATTTAAAAAAGAGACCAAAAAAACATACTCATGTTATAAATGACACATATTTAGTCCTTTCTTCTTAATTTTTTTTTAAAAACAACCAAAAAAATATACATATGTTATAAATGACACATATTTAGTCCTTTCTTCTTGAAAAAATTAAAAAAACAACCAAAAAAACATATTCATGTTAGAAATGACACCTATTTAGTCTTTTCTTCTTAAAATTTTTTCAGAAACAACCAAAAAAACATACTCACATGTTATAAATGACACATAGTTAGTCCTTTCTTCTCCTTTCTTTCCTGTGTTATTATTCTGTGTGCTGTGGCTTCAGAGGCTGAATCAGAGCCTCTTTAGGCTGTTTCTCAGGCAGAGGAACAGCAGAAACAGCAGAAAACAGAAGAGAAACAGCAGAGAAACAGCAGAGAAACAGCAGAAACAGCAGAGAAACAGCAGAAACAGCAGAGAAACAACAGAAAACAGCAGAAAACAGCAGAAAACAGCAGAAACAGCAGAAACGGTAGAAAACAGCAGAAACAGCAGAAGAACAGTAGAAAACAGCAGAAAACAGCAGCTGTCTGTTTCTGAAACAGCAGAAACAGCAGAAAACAGCAGAAAAACAGCAGAAGAACAGCAGAAAACAGCAGAAAACAGCAGAAAACAGCAGAGAACCAGCATAAAGCAGCACCTGTCTGTGCTCTACAGGTGAACCTGCCCCGGGCGCTGCTCATCGCCGTCTCCCTGGTAACCGGCCTCTACCTGATGGTCAACGTCAGCTACCTGAGCGCCATGACGCCCCGAGAGATGCTGTCCTCCGGGGCCGTGGCCGTCACCTGGGGGTGAGAACCCGTGGAGAACCGGATAAAAAGGGTTCCGCTCTGAAAAACCTTTGGTCAGGATGGTGGGATTTGAGGGAGGACTCAGGCGCGGAGATGATGGAAAAACAGGGTTTATTGTAACAAAAAAGGTGGAAGTCCAGACAAGGTACAAAAACACGGCTGTGGAAAAACTATGACTATGGCAAAGTAACAAAATAAAGATTAACAAGGCTGAGGCAAAACATGGCTATGGCAAAACTATGATTATGACAAAGTAACAAAATAAAGATTAACAAGGCTGAGGCAAAACATGGCTGTGGCAAAACTATGACTATGACAAAGTAACAAAATAAAGATTAAC